GGATTGGAAATAAGATTTTTCCACTGACTAGCTATGTGCCATGGGAAAATTAATAAACTTCTGCCATCCAGTAAAATGGAGCTATGGGAAGGCCCTCCAGGATTGGTGAAGATCAGAAGGGACAGGTTGAATGTTTGGCCATAGGGACTGGCCAGAAAGAGTAGCTTTCTCCTGTGTGTTGCATGGAGTGGGGGGTAGGGAGTAAGCAGTGACTACTTGGAATAGTAGACGATTTTCCTTCCCCATGAAAACATTCCTACCACAATTACTCCTTTTCAATGCATTTTCTTTCTTTTCTCTCAGACTCTGATCTGGACTTGGTGAACAAAGAAACAGTAAGCGACCTAGAGGATATCAAGTTAAAATTAATGCTAGGCATCTCATTGATGAGCCTCTTCCTTTTCCTCACCCTCTTGACATTCGGTTGTGCCACATTGTACAAGCTGAGGCAGCTGTAAGTGTACAGACATCTGGAATCTTTATAATACACAAAATGTCATGCTCTCTCCTTCCTCACTTTGGTAGACTGTTAGGAAAACGTGACCCACACGCTTCTCTGAAGGAAGTCAATTTGGCTCCCTTTTACCTATCAGAAAGGAGCTTGGGGCTGTCTCTCAGGGAATATCCTACTTGAAAATTTCCCCAATATTTTAAATTGTCATCTAGAGATAGAAATAACCCTAGTCAACTGAAAAGGATATAGAGAATCTAGATATGCTTCCTTTTTTGAGAGCTGTGAGGCAAAAGGACTATGAATTGTCTTCTAAATAGCACAGCAGCCTAGTGGCTAACACTTTCATTCGAACAAGACTTGAGACCTTAAAAAATAAAAAATAGCAAATCTCTCATTTACACCTGCAACACTACCTATGTGTTTTCTTATTAAAAATATTAAATTCAATTCATGTGTTATTGAAGGGATTGTTTATTTATGATTTCTCACACAATGTAACAAATTACTTTGAAAAATCCTAACAGCTTAACATTCAGTATTGTTATTAATTCAGTCCTTCTCATTTGCTGTTTTTGATGAACGATGTATCTCTCTAGTCAATTAAAACTGTGACCCTAGGTATTTACTGCCCGTCATTCTAATTCATTGTACATGCTACCTATTGAACTTTTATTAAGACATCTTTCACTGTTTTAATACATTAGTTTCTAAATTCTAGTCTTGCGGTTTAAAACATTCTTCATTCACTATATTTATTAAATATAATAAAATTAAAACTAAAGAAAAAACTACATATCATTTAGGTAACATCAGTAAATGACTCTAATACATTAGATGGAATTCATATTTTGATTTAATTTTTGTAAATGCTTTTCTAAGCTTAATTGAGTTACAAAGGAACACAAGTAAAATTAATTCTAGATATACATTTGTTCTGGTTACCAAGTGCCGCTCTGACAAGAAATATACCCCAAATGGGATGGCCTTAACAAACAGGAGTTTATTCTTACAATTTGGAGGCTTTAAGTCCAAGTTCAAAGTGCCAGGCTCTAGGGGCTGGGTGAAAGCCCCTCAACCTTGGGGTCCAGCTCTGCCTCCTTCTCCTGGCCCACTGGAGCTAGAGGCGTTTTTTCACTCAGGCAGCTGTTGGCTGCTGAGGCTGAGAAGCCCCAAGGTTGACGAGTAAAAAGGCACGGTATCAATGTTACCAAACCAAATGGCAGGCCATTAACTTAAGTCCACTGTAAGTCCCAAGGTCAGCAGAGCATAGCAGGCTGCTGAGCAAGGACACAGCTACATGCAGGGTCCAAGCGTGCCAAAGGCTAGAGACTGTTCTCAAAGCTTCTGCTTATGTACAGGAAGCAGACCACATCCCAAAGGCAGCTACTCAGCTGCTCCCAGTCAATTCCACCATGGAATTGATTAATAGTCTCATCATGGGGAATACTACATCCAGCTGCCCAGCCACTCAACCAGGCCTAGCCAAGTTGACATACAAATATAACCATCACAACGTTCTTTTCTTTTCCAGTTCTAAACAAAAATGTGAGAGTCAATACTCCATTAACCCCGAGCTGGCAGAGATGTCTTACTTTCATCCATCAGAAGGAATATCAGACACATCTTTTTCTAAGAGCACAGAGAACAGCATGTTTTGGGCTAACAATTCTTCAGAATTTAGAAAATCAGGGATACGAAAGTCAAACTCTAGAAATACGGCAGATATGACTTCCACAAGCTTGGATGAAGGGTCATATATCAATGAGGATGTGAATGAAGAAATCCCTCCTTAACTAAAAGAAGAGTTTATGTACTTTCTCATAAGAAATAAAAACAATTTATCTTTGTGATTCACATTAAAGTCATGATTTTGATACATGTTTAAGTTTTCTGATATCTTAAAAGAAGGAAATATTAATTAAAATTCTACCAGTTATTAAGATTAATTTAAGGTGTGGAAAATACATCAAGTAAAAATAATCCTGGAAAGTAACTCATGAAAATGTTCACTCAAGGGTGATTCATTTTAAAATGAAGAGAGTTAGATATTTACGTTAACTGGGGGCATTTTGAGAAATTTCATAGTAATCACTACTGTCTGTCTTCCTCCCCCAAAGCATCTGTCTCAATAGGTGTCCTGTCAATTCTTGGAACTTTGTTTTTCACCAATTCCTTGGCAGCTTGGACTTCTTTCCTTCAATACCGTTGGTTCTTGATCATATGCTACCTCCTGAAATGGTTGAATGTCAACCAATTTTTTTTGGTACAGTGACCACACAGTGTTCCAGGAAAAGAAAAATGAAGAGAGATCCTAGCATGCAATTTCTTAGAGGTGGGGATTCATGACTCCCAAGTCTTCTAGAGCTGAAGATACCCCATCTTTCTCTCTCCCCCCAAACATTACTGGAACATAAGGAAACACCTGAGAGGCTAATTCAAGTTACAATGACATATTAGGCTATCCATCCCAGAAGTAATTCAATTTACAAAGAGGACAACTGGCATAGGGTTAGTGATTGCCTTTTAGAAATCAATTTCAACTGCAAGAATTTTAGAGACTTATATACATAAAGTCTTTCACGGATATGTGTGGATTTGAGGAGTGGGCATGAGTATGGGTTGGGGAGGTTGGGGGCAGGAGTCACTGCCCCCCTAAAATCTAATGAAAGCTTCCCTTTATTGAGTGCCTACTTTATGCTTTGCACATTGGTACATTATATCACTATGGTATATTCTATGGTATAGAATCCTACTACTACGCTATGAAAGATGATTTTTATATATTTTTTATAGTTTCAAGAAACAAAACCTCAAGAAAGTGAGGAGTTTTGCCCAAGGTCATCCTGCTAGATAGGGGCAAAGCTAAGATGTGGTCCAAAACTGAGGTTCTCTCCGTGATCTATGTAGGTCAATAGTCAAACGTAACAAAAGTAAAAGGATATTGCTTAGTAGCAAGGCCAGCCCTGAATCCAGTAGGCATGAAGTTCTTTAACTCAGTTTTTTTTTTTTCAGATTTTAGGAAATTGCTTTCCCTTCCTTTGGTTTAGGTCTCCACTTCTCTCCTAAGGCAGACACACCCACTTTCCACTCACCTCCCACAGGCTCTGGTTTCCACTATCAGTATTCACTCACTCCTCATTTCCTCCCTAGACTTCAGCTTCTGCCTCACCATTGGTTGGGAAGGAAGGCTTTGAATAACAATCAAATTACAAGATTGTACCTTTGCCAAAAAGAGGTAGCAGGGTAAGTACTCACTTCTGTGCCTAAGGCATTTGACTGCTAACCAAAAGACTGGTGGTTCAAACCCACCAGCCACTCCTCAGAAGGAAGACTGGGCAATCTACTTCCATAAAGATACCACCCCAGAAACCCAAGGAGGGGTCACTATGAATTGGTTGCAACTCAACGACAGTGAGTTTAGTTTAGTTTTTTTTTTTTCCCCCAATGCCAATAGTGCCCAGGCTACCCTCTGCCTGTTACTTTTGCCAATTCCATGCCCTTTTGACAGCTAGCACCCCAGGGACTGGTGTCAGTATTTTCACTGCCACTGCAGGAACTGAGAAATGCAGTGAGAATGGAGTGAAGCAGGTGGGTGCAGCAGCTTGGAGGTACTCCCAGTGCAGAAGAGCCATGCCAAGTCCATAGATGAGGAAGGGCTTGTGAGAAGAATGTCAGATGGGCTTGGGCAGAGGTCAATTACCAAGCATTCCCTAGGTGCCAAGAATTTTCTTGATTAGAAGGAGATGTAAGAGCTACTTTTGAGTCAATATCACTTGCACCCAGTGCTAAAGTAAAGCATTATATAGAGAGAACATTAATCAGTACAGCATTACTCTGGCTAATATGTCTAAAATGTTATTAACAAAAATATGAACATCCTCAGATGGTTGGTGTAGTTTGTACATACCACCATAAGGTGCAGTTGATGTATTTGTAGGGAACTGGGAGCCCAGAAGCCAGCAGGAAGAATGTCAGATTGTCCTTGGGAAGATCTGGAGTGAGTCCAGCTCACTCAGCAGTTTCTTCACTCCTTATAAATGTCCACCTTCTCTACTTTCCCCAGGGTCCCCTCATTCTTCTTGGGTTTGTGGCAGAGACAAAGTCATGAGACCTGTGAGTTGCAGGTACACTGGGCTTGTGATCTTGCAAATGTCAGCTCGTTGGAGCACTGGATCCATGGTCTTGTATGATCTACCCTCTTTCCTTGTAACGCATCTCCAAAGGGATGGCTGGTTAAAGGGGGTGGGAGTGGGACACCCAGTTGAAGGACTGGGGTGGGAACTGGTAGTGAGGCCTTTCTTAATTCTCATGGGGGCAGGGAGTAAACACAAATAAAAAAGCAGCTGTTCCCAATAACCTCTAGCCTTAAAAGAAAAATTTTAAATGTGCCCTTAACTTAAAAATTACTACTCCAAATCTGTCTTCCACTGGAAAAAAAAAAAAAAAAAAAAAATTAAACTTTGATGCGGAAGGAAAACATAATCAGGTTTCTTTGCTTTCTTTCCATAGTGTCCCCAAAACCCTTCTTGAATCATAGCAAATGCCAAAGCTCATTTCTAGCTGATTATCAAGAATTTGCTCACCATTCCAGGGGAGTGTTCCTATAACCATGTATAGGTTTGGAAGATAATAGTTCTACAAGTATATTTGTATGTTCTGTAAGAATTCCCAGGTATATAGCAGAACTGACAAGGGACAAGGTTGTAGTCATTTCTTGGCCACAGAGGTAGCAGCAGTTGGACCTGTGGGCTCAGGACCATAGTCACAGGGAACATCAATCTCAATTGACATAACATAGTACACAAAAACATTGTTCCACATCCTACTTTGGCAAGTAGTGAGTGAGATCTTAAAAGCTTCCAAGCAGCCATCTAGATGCAACGACAGGTCTCTCCTCATCCAGGGCAAAGAATAATGTAGAAAACCAAAGACACATGGAAACAATGAGTCCAAGCAGCTGGTACACTATGCGATCCTCAGCCAATATGACTAGGAGACCAGAAGAACTAGATGGTGCCCAGCTACCACTGTCAACCACTCAGAAGGATACCTATGTAGGAGATCCTGGATAGAATGGGAGAACAATGTGGAGCAAAATTCAAAATCATTAAAAAAAAAAAAGACCAGGTTTGCTGGTCTGATAGAGCCTGGTAGAACCCCTGAGACTATGGCCCCTAGCTGCCCTTCTGTCTGGAATTAAACCCACTCCCATGGCTTCCAGCCAAACAAAAGACAGGCATATGAGCTGAAATTCACATTAGATAAATACACTCCTTGGAGAGATCAATCATGGGAGGATAGAAGGGCTATGTATTCATAGGGTGATAGCTCGGTGAGGGGAGGCAGGAGTGCATGGAGGGAAGGACACAGGGAAGAGGTAACTATGGGGAGGAAGTGGGAGGAGAGCTGTTGCATTGTGGGAAATTGTAGTCAGTGTCATGAGTCAAAGTATATGTGAGCTGCTGTAGGGAAAGTGAATTTGCTTTGTAAACTTTCACCAAAATTACAATAAAAATTAAAAATAAAAAAAGTTTACTCCCCATTCCAATTTTACTAATCCAATGAGTGGAACTCTGGTGGTACAGTAGTTAAAGCACTCAGCTGCTAACCAAAAAGGTTGAGGTTCAAACCCACCAGCTGCTCTGTGGGAGAAAGATGAGGTAGGCTGTTTCTGTAACGATTTCCAGCCTTGGAAACCTTATGGGGTAGTTCTACTCTGTTCTACAGGGCTACAGGGTCACTGTGAGTTGGAGTCTACACTATGACCTTGGGTTTGGTTTGGTTTTGGTTTTCCATTTTCATTAAAAAGAAATTAGATCCAAGATTTTATATTTGGATCCTAGAATCATTCTCATCCTTCTGCTTTTCCTCTCCTACTCCATCCCTTATCAAAATGTCACACATCTAGGACTTTGTTTTGGGTTTCAATAAAGTTAATTTCTTAATAAAAGATGAATGTTAAGGTGAAAGGCTATTGAGCCACACAAAAAAAAATGAGTGTGGATATTGAAGGAGTTCCAGTAAGATGGTGGAAAAGGCAGAAAGACTGCACAGACCCTCTTCAACAAAGAAAAGGGGAACCAATTAACACAGATACAGAAGATAATCCTGGTACCCTGAGCCTTGAAGGGAAGGATATAGAAGTGGAATAAATGCCAACTAGCAGAAGAATTTGCATGAAAACAACAAAAAAGGAGATATATGGAGCTGCGGTCTGGCAGTGATCCTGATGGCATAGACAGCTTGGATATTGCCAAGTGGTGGTAGGACCTAAGAATTAACCTAGAAATCAGCCCTGCTAGCCAGGGACTACACAGAGGACTGCTCTGGTGGCTGGTGAATAAAAGGGGAAGCATGGAGAGGTAGGTGGGCTGAGCTGTAGATTTTTACCTAGCCAGAGGGTGCAGCCATTTTGAATGTTTACAAGCAGTTTGATCATTTTAGATACTTAAAGTGACAGCATTCTCCCATATTCCAAGGACTTAAGAACAGGCTCCAGTTGCCAGGAACCACAAGGACATTCCAGACCCAGATGACTGGAAAGGTGCAACATTCCCCTTGTTACTCTTACACCCCACACCCTGTTGGTGAATGGAGGTGAGGCCATCCCTCACTCCCACCCACCTCCTGGGCCAGCAGGAATTCCATCCCAGTATGTGTACTCCAATGGAGCATGGGTGTCCTGCCCTGCCCTACCCCAATTTTTTTTTCTGTTTTTTAGTTTGTTTGTTTTCGTTTGTTTTAAAACTACTACTATTATTATTACTTTTGTCCTTTTTACTGTTATTCTTTA